GTGCGTGGCACAGGCCCTGGGGGGGCCAGCCGGTAACAGTGAAGCCCGGGGAGGGCTAGCGGAAGTTTGGAGACGCAAGAATGTCAGGAACAGCTGCGAGGCTTGGGGCGTGCTAAAGGGGAGGTAGGAGGCATGCATAGCCCATAAGGCTGGGGGTGCACCAAGTCACCCTTAAATCTCAGGAGATCATAGGCAGCCTCCCATATTACCTTATATAAGATCAAAGACGTGGCGGGCGAGAATAAGAGGGTGCTGATCTCCTAATTGCCACGGCAAGGGGGCGCTAGCAGGATCACGGCCGCTCGTAGGCCCCACTCCATGACAGGCTCCAAATGTATGAGTGTCCTTATCCTTAATGACAGCTTATCAAGAGGCAGTACAGGTGTTAAGCACTTGTTTCCTTCAAAACTCTTCATTTTTTCATTTGGGTGCAGAGCAACTCTGTGACTCACATTTCTTTGAGGTGACCTGTGACCTCAATGACCTGGCACATTCATCAACTCTAGGTAGCTATCAACAGGACAAACACACGCACACACACACTTTAAAAATAAATCTAGAAAAAATACACTCCCTTGGCAATACTGTTTCTCTGTAAAACACTTGTACTGAATGCACCCATACCGCAGACAAGGGTGAACCGCAAGGTTATCTTCAGCTGACCTATCCCAGAGTATGACTGCAGTTATTTTAAGCCAACTACCATTGTGCAGGAACAGTTCTCAAGTAAGTTACAGGGAATTCTACCCAACTAACTGGCAACTGATTTTCTGCCTCTGTCCTCACTCTAACCAGCTGTGCCCAGCTGTTGCAGCAAGTGTAATATATTGATGTTAAAAGAGCTGCCAGTCTTGCGTTTCTATCTTGCTTGGTTTCTGTCATTCAAGACAGAGTCTTAATATATATTTTAATGCCGTGTTTCAAATTCTCTTTAGGAATATCAAAACAAAAGTATACAAAGGAGTGACAATGAAAAAAACATTCATAAGGCCCTATAATACCACAACAGTGTCTGTGGTGACATCTCAGTAGTCCTGGTAGCAGTGCTGAACTCTTCTACATGTTTAACTTTAGATAATTTGTACAGAAGACACTATACACCAAGCAGGGCCAAAGTCTCTTGGGTTATCTGGGCCCTTATTCTTCTCCAGAGTTGCCTGAACCTCATCACAAACCTGTTCTTTCTTACAGATGGCCAGATGTGCTCAGACAATATAGAATGAGCTCTGCCTTTTACCTGTTCTAGGATGAAACCTCAACTGAGGGCTCCATCCTAAAACACAGAACCCTACTGAGAAGCACTTATACAGTAAACTACCTCAGCTTCAAAAGAACTGCTAACATAAGCTGAGTCCTACTTGCGTGAGTAGAGGTCACATACTCTGGCCCAAAGCACATGCCTCTGTGCAGGTCAATAGGGCTAATCACAGGCCAGGTTCTGCCTGTCTTTGCAGTGAGGATACAACACAGGGAGGAAGAAGTGAAGATCCTTCCCTTCTTCACGCAGACAGTAGCAAGGCTGGGCACAGTGACAAAGCAAATAAGGAGCAACCAAGGGAGCTGGGCAGGTTCTTCAGGGGCCAGGAAGTCACACCACACAAAGAAATGTGGCAGAAGGTTTTCAGCCCATACACTGCTGTGATCTATACCCAAGCAAAACAAACTTCTCCTAATGCTTCCTATCCCCATGGCCCACAAGCCCAGACTATGCTTTGATGGCACAGTCAGGTACACACATGCAAGGACTGTAGCACTGAGATCTAAGCCGGTCTGCAAAACACTGAAGAAGAGATGTAATCTCCACAGTTGCCCTTCTTAGGTTGACCGCTCTTTCTTCTTCATCTCATTTAACAGCTGGACATACTCTGAGCCAAACATAGCCCTTGAACAAATCACACTCAGTTCCAGATAAAGTCAACGGGAGCTGCACATGAATTACCAAGGGCAGAATTATGCCAGGCAGGTTCTATATCTAGAATGGCCTTTGGATAACAAGTTTGTCAAGCTTTATCTCTTCACTGAGACAAAACTGAATGGCATTAGCCCTTCCTCCCTCCTAATGTATCTGCAGCCCATATCTTTGCAGTGCCTACCTTAACTTCCACATGTGCCATCAGGACAGCAAAATTGGTTAGATGATTACAGGAACATGTAGTGTGTGTCTTATTTGTTGTCAGGAGCCGACATCCTTGCGTCGACCAATAACCTGTCATTGTACGCTTTGAATAGCTCCAAAATGAACAGTTAGGGTTGAAATTTTCTTCTGACTGCTGCTGGGAAGAAATGAATAAATGCAGTAAAAATTGTAAGGCTTCAAAGATTTCTAGATGCACTATCTTTTCCCAGAGCCACTTTGTAACTCTCACCCTTTAATTTCACATAAACAATCAGCAACCGTTTATATGTCAAGTATTAGCTGTATATGCCAGAGAAAGTTAGATTGGTGCTGCTCTCTTTGTTAATGCAAACTTAGTTCTTTGTTCTTGATTAATTTCATCCACAGATGTAAGTCAACTCCTCAGAACAAGATTGCTTCATTGGATTGCATTGCATTGCATTGCATTGCATTGCAGAGCAGAGAAATTAATTGCTTTAAGCAATCAACTTTTGCAATGACTCTGCTTGGCTACTGGTGGGCTAGCTGTCCTCATCCACGGTAATTCCATTTCCTCTAATATCCCCTGCCACCAGGATAAAATAATATTATGGGCCATTTAAATATACTGGTAGTTTTTAATCACGGAATGACTTGTGTTAGCAATTGAATGATGAGGCTTCTACACAGTGGAGACCCTTTCCCTAGCCTGATTAGTATAATGTAAAAGAGGCATTATCCATATAAAAACATTAGGCACAAAGGCAGTAACAAATACATAATTCAAAGTTTGATCTAGGACTGCTTGGGCACATTAGGCTGCCCAACTGAGGACTTCTGCTGCAGTTGTTTTAGAAATAAAATGAAAAACCATTTAAATATGAAGTTTCACAGACCCGCCGTGCCCCCTTACCTTGATGTGCTTGACAGCAAACACCACAGGATCCGCTAGATAAACTTTAGTGCTGAACTCTTTGTTTATTGCTGCCGTAATGACAGGGGAGTTAACTATGACAGAGTGATTGGTTGACATGGCCTCTGTTCCTAACTTCATGCTGGCATTCTCCGTGGAGAGATATGGACCCAGGTTGTTATACAGCACAAAAGCCACCCTGATTTCACCTACAAAGTACAAATATGAGTTAGAAATCATACCAATCCAGCTCAGAGGGTTGTGTTCAAGATAATAGTTCTTTGTTACAAGCAAAATGCTTCTTCTGTTACAACCTCCTCCTCCCTACCTGTGCTGTTGAAACCAAAGCTGTGCTTTGGGGCTTTCAACCCTGGTTTCTAAAGAAGTATCCTATCATGGCTATTATGACTGCATTTGCCGCCTCTCGCGAACAGAACTCAGGCTCATGAAAGCTTATGTGTCTCTTACTTAGTTAGTGTGTAAGGTGCATCTCAACTTTGCCTTTTGATTGGCAAAAAGCACCAAGGTGCTTGGTGAAAAGCACCTTGTTCAAGTTCGCAGATGACACTAAGATGTGGGAAGAAGCGAGCACGCTAGAAGAGAGGGACGGGCTACAACTAGATCTCAACAGGTTACAGAGGTGGGCGGATGGGAATAGGATGGGTTTCAATACAGACAAGTGCAAGGTGTTGCACCTGGGAAGGAAGAACCAGCAGCACACTTACAGGCTGGGGAACTCCCTTCTTATCAGTGCAGAGGCAGAGAAGGATCTTGGAATCACTATTGATTCCAAGATGAACATGGGTCATCAATGTGGAGACGCAGTCAGGAAGGCTAACCATACTTTGTCATGTATCCATAGATGACCAAGGAGGTGATCCTCCCCCTCTATGCAACATTGGTCAGGCCACAGCTGGAGTACTGCATCCAGTTCTGGGCGCTGCGCTTCAGGAGGGATCTGGACAGCTTCGAGAGGGTCCAGAGGAGGGCCACACATGTGATTAGGGGGCAGCAGGGCAGGCCCTACGAGGAGAGGCTACGGGACCTGAATCTGTTCAACCTCCACAAGAGAAGGCTGAGAGGGGATTTGGTGGCCACCTATAAAGGGGGACCAGCAGGCAATGGGAGAGTCCCTGTTCCCCCAGGCACTGCTGGGGTTAACAAGGAACAACAGCCATAAGTTGACTGAGAGTAGATTCAGGCTAGATATCAGGAGGCACTACTTCACTGTCAGGGTAGCCAGGAGCTGGAACCAACTTCCAAGGGAAGTGGTGCTTGCTCCTACCCTGGGGGTCTTCAAAAGGAGGCTAAACAGCCACGTAGCTGGGGTCATTTGACCCCAGCATCCTTTCCTGCCCATGGCAAGGGGTTGGGCTGGATGATCTGCTTAGGTCTCTTCTGACCCTACCAACTATGAAACTACAAAACAATAATTTTTGAGCAATCTGTCACTCTCCCACCACCACTCAGCCCCATCTCATGTATATTTTTTTTTCCTAAAAAACCCAGAAAAGAACCCATTTTATTTTTCAACCAGATTTTCTCCCTTTCCATATAATCCCATTGCTAGGGATGTTTCATAAAACCCACACTACCAGCAAATTGGTTCTTAACAGAAGCAATCCACTTTACCGCTTTTTTGCACATTACTGCAAAGACTATAAAGTAAGAAATGGAGTGAGATTCGTTTTCTTTTATAATTATTGTTTTTTTTAATCATGTCCAATGCTAAGGAAGATACAGAATCAATGATATGTTACACAACACGTGATTTAAATGAGGGAGTCAGACTGAAGAAATTCACTGCTGGGATAATAACAATACCTTGCCCTCATACAGTATTTTTCATCAGTTGGTCTCAATGCACTTTATGAAAAAGAGGTCAGTATCATTATGAAGGGGGAAAGGAAATGCAGAGCCTATTTTATGAGAAGAGACTAAGAGACAGGCTTGTGTAACACAGCAAAAGGCTGTGAATGAAGATGGCTGCTGTCTGTAAATAGTTCAAAGGGGCAAACATGAGAGAGGGAGAAGAGCTACTTAACCTGAAGACAAAGCTGGCACAAGAACAAGTGGGGATAAGTTAGCCATGCATAAATTTAAGCTGGAAACCAGAGAAAGGCTTGCAACCATTAAAGGCTCTAGAACATCCTTGCAACAGGAGAAGAGGGGGCAAAAGGCTCAGTATGTCTAAGATGGAGCTTGATAAGATTAATGTTGAACTATGGGGTTGCCTACCATAACATGCGGTCGAGCATGAAAACCCAGGAAGCTACTTCCTGTCCTGTGCTTCTATTAGCTATTGCTTCTGTATAGGGAAACCAAGGCATAAAGGGAAATGAGTTGCCCAATCTCACTCAGCAAGACCGTAGCAGAACCACATATAGAAACCAGGTCTCCTGAGTCCCAGTCCAGTAGACTGTCCTCCAGGCTAAACAGCTACAACCACAATGAGGTCAATTTAGTGGTAACCAGCTGTGCCCTTAAGTCCCTTGAACTGCAAACAGTAATGAGATCTTATTTGAAGCTTGTAATTTTTCAATTAAAATAACTACAGCAAAATAGAAACTTCTTTCTAGGTGTATCTACATGAGACATTTACTGAGGAGTGGCCTAGTTAGTACTGCAGTAAAGTCTCAGAATCTACCCGTGCAACCCTATTAGGCTGCAAGATACTAATTAACTCAGCTGTAGGTTAGTACCCGTGCAAGTACTATTCTGCAGTGGAGTTCTTCAATGTGCAGCAATGCACATATAGATGCTGACAGGGCTAGCTGAGGCATGAGGGTGCTTCAGTGTAGGGGCTGTCTGCTGGCTAGGCCCACACTAGAGCACCCTTGTGCCCTAGCCAGCCCCCTGCAGCATGTTGAGCTGGGTCAGAGCAGCCCCAGGTTGGCAGGCTAACCCCAAATGGCCCTCTGCCAGCTGTAGCTGCCCCACCCCAGCTCAAACTGCTGTTGTCCTGGGTACATGTCAATATGCTGCAACCAGAAGCAATAATCTCTAGCATGGTATGCACTGGAGTTTATTCATTCGCATTAATTTTATGTGCCCTTTAATATAAATTTTCTAGTGATTTTTTTCAATGTCCCATGCTTTGGGAGGGAAGGCAGTTCATGAACACATAAGGTTATTACTATTGCTTCCAAATATATATGAATTAAAGCAATGTATGTCTACTGATTTTAATAGACCATAGATGATTTACACCAGGTAAATATCTGGCCCTTTGATGAACCTATGTGTTACTGCTTTCAAAAAGTAACTAACAAGGGCAGACAAATCTCTGAAATGCTTGCGGGGCGGGGGGACGACGACGACACAGGACACAGCTGCTACCTTGCTATCTACTGTCCTTCTCTATAGTGATGCCTGTTCTCACATTAGGAAAGCACAGTGACAGTCAGCCTTTAAGAAGCTAATCAAGTCAGCGGCAAGGAAAAAAAAAACCCCTTCCAAGTAGTTTGCAGCAAGAAAATCTGGGAATAGTGAAAAAATACAGAGTACTAAATTTTATCCTAGACATGGGCTTTACATTACAACAGTGCTGGTGAGTCCATATTCCACACTGGTCAGAATGCCTTGACCACCCTTAGGAACCTGGATTTTTCCTTCTTTCTGCCTATGCCTAAAGCTTTCTTTAAAAATTTCTTCTTTTAAAAGTTTCTTGTTCTTGACAGAGTCCTAAAGGCCATGTCTGTATGCTGAAATGCCATACCCCTGAAGTCTACTGGAGCTTTGCCACCGACTTGAAGGGAGACAAGAATTTACTCCTTGTCTCTAGAATAAACATTCCTTTTCCATTGTACATTTTAGTGGTGAAATCCTGTTTCCAGTACAGTGGGTGACAAAATACCATTATTTTGCTACAAGTTCAAGATTTATTGCAAACCACTGTCTGCAGGATTCTTAACAGTTTTACCTCTATTGCCCAGCTTCAATATTGTTCTATTATGGTATATTTTGCCTATTTTACAACTATCAAAGTATGTATTATAGCACTTTCCCCTTCATATAGGCTAATGTTTAAAAGCAACCCCCACAGAATATACACTCATTACAGAACAATAAAGTAAACGAGTGGAATATTTACTTTAATGGATCTCATAAATAGGAATTTGTCAGGCCCATTAGTACAAACAGAGCCTGGCAGTCCCTGGTTTGGTCTACAGTGGATCTATAGAGATAGATCAACCCATGTTTCTGCTCAAATTACTGAACTAGAAATAAATGGCTTGGCAGCTTCAAGACAGTTCACATATAACATCATCTTTGATTCATATTATATCAAGAGGCTCGTAAGCTTTAGAGAGAAAAGCACTGAAGACTTGAATTCATAACTTTTAATCACCTCTTTCTGGTTTGTTGGCTTTTTGTGCTATCATTGTTTGCTGTTGTTTCCCCCCACTTTCTTTCAAATGTTTGCACTGTGCAGCACTTTGAAACAGTTTTTCAAGCAAGCCTTTTATCCTATGTAAAATTTCCTACTGAAGACAACAGATGCTAACTAACCATCTATGCTCAGTACTGTCCCACACTGGCAACAATGTTTAAGAAATCAGGGCACACTGACAGGCCCTTGGCACTCCCAAAGATTGACAGTCACTTGGCAATAAAACAGATTTCCAATCAGCCAATTTAGCAAGAAGTCAAGGGCATGGGACAATTAATATTAAACATGCTTCCTGCATCACAAATGCTATAGGTGTTCAAAAGTGAAAAAAATATTAATTCAAGATATCTAAGCAAAGCAGCAGAAAAGATTTGTAAGGGGTTGGAACATCAGAGTCATGAACATGACTTTGGTACCATTATAAAATTAATTCATCTGCACCCACACCAACTCCCTCCCCCCAACATGCCTGATTATCAGCTATTACAGGGTTTGGCATGTTAGGTTTTGTGTATAAGACACTTCTGTTTTGCTGTAGCACAGAGTTTATTTGCACTTCTAAGCAGAAGAAACAAATTTGAGAGCTGCACAGTGACCACATGAATACAGACTTCAGCTTCTGGTGAGTTTGCAATGTCTGGGTAGCAAATACAAGAAACTGGGTAAGGCCTTATTGTTTTTTTTTTTTACTTCCTCAGATGTTATGAAGCAAGAGTAAAGAGAGAAGAGGACAAAAAAAGTATTTCTCAGCTGAGCAAATCAAAGTGACACTATATGTGAAGGTGCATTCATTAGAATTTTATAAAAAACTAGTTTAATAAATGGGTAATCAATTGTTATGGCATCCAACAATTCAAAAGTTGCTTCTGATTTTTCCATATCTACCATATTTACTCAAATATATGACAACCCTGAATATAAGATGACGCCCAAATACTTAGATTCTATATATGAAAAATGTACAAATTTGTTAACATTTTCCAGGTATTATTATTATTGGAGGTTTGCCTTGAATTTGTCCCCCATGTTTACCTACTTATATACAGTACAACATATACATGATATTAATCCAAAACAAAAAGGCTCAGTGATCTACCATGTAGTTCACTGGGTTGGGCCCAAGCAAAGTCAACAGCATTTCAAGCCATGGTAACCCGACACCTCAGAATTGCTCCAGATACTCCCCACAAAGGACCCATGTGTTAATTAGTGCCCCATTCCTGACTGGGACCAGATATTCTTGTCACAAGTCCTGGGATCCTCCAAAAATGTATATGTAAATGAGGCACAGGGCAACCTGGTCCAGCTCCACCTCATGAAGGATGAGGCCACACTAATCAGATGTGATGGACTGAGGGATGGGATAACAGAGCAGTTCTGGGTGAACCATTTGGGGCCCTATTTCATGATATTTGCCAGACATTTACAGCTGGTGAAAAACAAGAATCATTTAAATAGGAAAGAAAGGTGCAAATCAGCTGTGGGAGAGAAGACGACATTGAAATGTATTCAGTGTAGCTTGACCCGAAAAAGAGTTGGTGTTGAGAGGGACTGCATGCAATGGACACTACCATATACCTTACTCAGTTGGGCTACCCTAACCTATCCTTGGGTTATGTTCTCATCAGTATGTTTGCCTAATATGGGCTATATGTTTTATAGTCCTGCTCAGTGTTGGCTGCATTTGATCAACTTCATAGTAGGTTTCCATTACTGAGCACATGCTGCTTTTGGCAGCAGTTTAGTGATAGAAAATCTATTTAATGAGGTTTTCTTGTATGTGAATATAAGTCAAGAGGCTTTTTCCTCTCTGCTGATTGGGGACAGGGGGGAGGAGGGTCCTTGTCTTGTCTTGCATTTGAGTAAATACAGTACTTAGATTGAGGGAGCTTTGGTAAAGGGACTATCTTGCTATTTGGTGTTTGTAGGACTCCTGGCATATTGGAATCCTGGTCCACGTCTGGGACTGTGCAGTGCTATCACGACGCAAATAATCAGGAAATTAAGCACATAAATAAATGTCTACAATGATTTATTCATCTTATAACTATAAGTTGCACCTTCTTCTGATGCTTTGTAACCATCTACAGCACATACTTCTCACATCTATAACATGCTTAAAAATATCTAGGAATCGTTTATTAGCTCTTAATAAACTGTTTTTCAATGTAACCATAATGCAAAGCATTACCTAACTCAAAAGATACATAAAGCAACAAAATGTTGTACCTACCATTTCGACCATTTTGTTTCAATGTATTTGCTGATAGCTGGATCGAGCTCCCACGACCCATGTTCTGTGGAAATTTCAAATCTTCCAAATTTCCGTCTGTGCTTAGTCTTGCAACTTCCAATTCTGTTTGCAAGAGACAAGTGATCACTGGGTTACAACATGGAGAATAATCACCACTAAAATACTCACAATATACATACATCATGGCCCCAACACCATTTTTGCAATAAAATGTAAACACAGGAAACAGTATGGAGTGTTGAGTGTTAGACTCTGCTTTGAACTTTCACTTATTTTCCATGTCTTTGCCCTGCAGAAAGGCTTAGATTTTTTTTTTTTAATGTAAATAAAATCTACTCCAAGTTTGTGTAAATAAGCACCCAAGGATATTCAGAACAACGGTAAAAGTGAAAATCTGAAAGTGTTGGTATTTTGCCACTGGCTCTTGGTATGTTCTGTAGATTTTATCAAAACCCAGTATCTGTAGTCACAGAAATTAAAAGGAGAGCTATTCTCATTTAATGCGCAGATGGTGGCAGGGTTGGTGTTTTCCAGCACGCTTGATTTTTTTAAAATTAAAATCAACACTCAGCTAAATAAAGCCACATATTTATATTCAATTGAGCAAAACAGTATTAAGCATGATGAGGAACAAACTTCTTGTGAACTGTTCTCACTGCTATCATAGGTATATTAGGCATTGTGTCTGGGATTTTCAGAGCAGTAAAACAGAATGAGGTGTTCAATCCCATCATATTTCAAATTGAACATTTAATTTGTTTAGAGTCTTTTGAAAAAAAACTGAGGCTGAGCTCTTCTAGGCAGGTGCCTCCTCTTTGCTACGTATTTTGGCTGTGCTCAGCAAAAGGGCACCTGGGCTTTTAGGTATAATAGTAGTAATAACAAAAGCAACAAAAAACAGAAGAGGTCATGTGCCTACATATAGACATGACACATAGACTCAATGAAGGCTTCTATAATATTTTACTTCTGTAGAATAGCATCACTACAAGACAAATCCTGCAGGTCCTACTCAGTTCTTAGTCAGATGAAACTCCCAAGATACCAAAAACTGAGTCTGTCTTTATTCTCAGGCACTCATCACCATGGGTCTTGGAAAGTGATAAATCAGAATAATAAAAGGAGTTCTCTTTGAGAAATTACTTCAGGTTTCTTACCAACACCTTTATGTAACACTGGGAACCCTATGGGAGATATGTCTATTTTTATCACTCAAAGAAAGGCAATTAATTTATTCAAGGATAGATCTCACTTTTAGAGCCAAAGCATAAAAGTTGATGTGCACCTACAATTCCTAGATCTTGCTGTTAGCCAAGAACTATTTGGAAAGAGCTACGTGATTCAAGGGAAAATTTTTAAAAATCTCACACAGGTATAAACAGACATCACTGGTCAACCACATACAACACTTTACTCCACAATTCTTGGTGACAATCAACGATACTCCATGAGAGGAAGAATCATTCATTAAAATGGAGGGAGAAAGTGTTGCTGAATCTTACTCAGATGAAGTGAATTATACTAGATTGGAGACAGAGTGAAATTCTAGCTTCCACTGAAGACCATGGAGCTTGTACCATTAATTTTAATAGGGCCAGGGTTTCACCTTGCATCTCAAGCCTGTTCTTGCATCTTTTTCCTTGCTAGTGTTTCAAATGGCTCTGCTCACTTACGGATATTGTCAGTGTTCTCCCTGACGATGTCTGTCTTCAGGAGGTTATCAGCCAGCACAAAGGCACTTTCCTCCACTGTGTCAAGTAACATGGTTGCCGCACGCAGCTGGTCGCTTGCAGTCAAGTCCCTCCAAGCATTCAGAGCCTGTGGCTGTAGGAGGTTGTTAACCGTCTCAACCATGGCCTGCAAGGGAGGGTGAGAAAGGCTTTCTGTGAGTCTGAGCAAACTGTTAAGAGGTCTACAGATACATTCTACCGAGTCAGAAGAGCAGACTACTGTATGTAGACACAACATAGCCCCATTCTCCCTTGCCCAGTCCCATTCCCCCTCGCTCTTCATGGCAATCTGCAGTGGAGTTGTTCATGAATTTTCCTCTTGACCAAGCAAGGGAAAAAAGCCTAACTTTCATTCTACAAGCTGAACAACATAATGACCAAAAAGTTATTTTCTATTCCTGTGCTCTTTGCTGGTTAAATGATGGGGATGGAGGCTCTGGGAAGTTGGGGGCGGGGCTTGTCTCTAAAGAAAACATAGGAATTGTATTTGAGGGGGTGGGGGGGTGCCTTGTCTCTAAGGAAAACATAGGAATTGTATTTGAGGGGGTAGGGGGGGTGCCTTGTCTCTAAAGAAAACATAGGAATTGTATTTGAAAACATGCATCCCTGCAAAGCAGTGAGCTGACAGCCACAGTCTGTTCTGAACTTAAGAAACAGAGCCAGGATGTCAGCTACAGCTATTCCAGGTTAACAAAGAATTAACTGCACTAACATTGCCCAGCCAACATAAAATGTTCATTCAAGGGATACTCCTTCCAAGTAAACCCTTCAACATCTGTGCTGCTATCTTATTATCAAGGTAATAAACAGAGGGGCTCTGCTACCTGTGATCCTCAGGAGTTCCCTCATCCAGAGGATCAGCGGGTGCCCTTAGAGATTTAGATAAGGTATCACATTTCAAATCATTCCATTTAGCGAAGAGTCTTCCCTGTGCTAACAACTTGGATCCTTTCCACAGTGTACAATGCACCCTAGGTTGCTAAGTAAAAGGAGCACTCCCATTGTGAACTTCCTCAGCATTAATCTGGCTGCACGTTAGGCTGCAAACAACATTGAGCAAGCCTCACAGTTTGTAAATTACAGTTGTCAGATCCGACTGATCCTGAAGATTTTTCTTCACTGAAAACACCCGCTCACTTACTAACCGCTGCTGGCCCAGCTTGTATGTAGCTAGCTAGATTATAAATAGGGAACAACAGAGCTGGTGAGCAAAATTGACTGCACATGTTTAAAAGAAAAACATGCCCAGCTAATGTTCTCTTCTGCTGGTTAGTGTTTTCATAGTAACTAGTTACTGGCTGTTAAAAAATTCCTGCTTCATAATGAAACACCTCCACTGCCAATTAATACCAGCCTCAGAAACTAATTTGCCCTTTGAGATAAAGTTGCCTTTCCTGACATCATTCCATGTGCTGAAAGGTCTGGCATCAAACCTACTCCATTTTTCTGTGCTGCAAGGAGGGCCCTGCATGACTTCAGCAATTTACAGACCCCAAAACTGTGGCACAGATTATTCAGAGGAGCAGCTGGGAATTCTTCCTCCCTCCTGCCCCACCTCCACCATGCTACAAATCCTGAGTTTACAAGATCATTTATTAACAGGACAGGGCACGACCTGTTTTCTAGGAATAGACCAAGAGCCATGGCCCTAAAAATATATGACCCAAGTATATGGTACCAGGATTGGGGGAAGGCCTGACGCACTGCTGCCCTGCAAGCATGTGAAGTCATTGCAGGGAGAGGGTGGGATAGTGCTAAGTCAGAGTGGTAGAATTTCAAATTGCTCAACCATTAGATCACTTACAAGATATTTATAATAAATTGCAGTAAAGGCTATGGAAACGCAGAGATCTCCAGACTTCCAGGGTTTTTACATGTGTTTCAGGCATAGGGGGTGGGGTGCTTTAATTAGAACGGCTCCGAGAGCCACTCTAATTAAAGCATCCACAGCGTCTTGTGTATTAGCATCCCTGTGTTTCAAAATGGTGGTGGGAGCACTTTAACTAAAGCTTGTAAAATGAGCTTTAGTTACTCCCCACTGGCATTTTGAAGTACGAGGACACTGATACATGAGACATGGAGGCTGGCTGGACCATGCCAATTGGCATGATCCAGCAGACTCAAGTCTGCTCTGACTCACTGTAATTACAGCACATTGGAGTAGGTTCCCCATACGTATATAGGCACCCCTAATGCTGGTGAGGCAGCCATTTTTAATTCCTAATGAAACTTTTACTGACGTAGAAGACAGGGCAGGGTGGCATCATGGAGACTATGATACCAATTGCATTAATACCTTTGTGGGGTACAAAGTGCATTTTGATGTCACCAGTCATGTCCATCAGCAGTGAGCAGACACTGCAGAAATGTACCCTTTATGGAATCTCTATTGTACTCCACTGACATAGAAAGCACAATTTGGAAATGTATGTATCTTCTTTTCTCTTGAGACTAACCACCTCATTTTTTTAACCCATTAAGCACCCAACATGCCTACTAAAGCATATTAAAACTTTGGGAAAATGAAGTCATAAAACTTCAAGAGCTTGTTCTATGACACTCTTGCAAACATAAGGTGAGGTACTTCTCCCAACAAGTGTTGATGCTTCAGCTGTTCTTATTCATATACGTGTGTGTGTGTGTGTGTGTGTGTGTGTGTGTGTGTGTGTGTGCATGTATGTCAGTGACACACACACACACACGTGTAAAACATTCACATACTAAACCTGGAACCTGTTTTTTAGCATATTGATGGTCAGGAACTTTATCATCATCACACTAGCTGCTAGATTTTTAAACTATGGGCATCTATACAGATGCTTCACAGGTGAGGGGTCCTTTAATTAGAGTGGCTCTGAGAATCACTCTAATTAAAGCGCCCAGACTGTCTCATGTACCAACATTCCTGCATTTCAAAATGATGGCAGAGATGCTTTATCTAAAGCTCATTGAGTGAGCTTTAAATAAAGTGCCTGCACAGCCATTTTGAATTGCAGGGATACTGATACATGAGATACAGAGGCTAGCTGGAGCACAGTAATTACCATGCTCCAACAGACTTGATTAATTGAGTCTGCTGCGATGTACTGTAATTACAGCATGTTAGAGCAGCCTCCCAGCTCGTGTATAGGCACCCTATTTGCTTTTTTAAAGTTTTTTTTTAAGAGCTCTTTGTAAGTTTTTTAATTGCATCTAAAACAACAACAAAAAAGAGAGCAAGAGAGATAAATTTAGCTGTCAAAAAGAAGCATCATAAATCCATGGTATTTAGGCATGCTTTCCAGCATTTTAAAATCTTAAAGTCCAATCTGAATAACACTTAATGCAATTCAGTAGCTCACTTTGGTAACTTATCTCTCTAAAGACCAAAGGGAAGTGTCATTATTTTCTAGTGATCAAAGTCTTGCCTATTTTGCTGTGCATGTTTTTGCAATGTGTTTTTCTTGCAAAGATCCCATATTCATGGAAAGCAAATTATGCACTCTCGTCAGAAAAATGATGATTTTTCTCCCCCTTCAATGTTATTATGCAGAACACAATTTGCATTGCTTTCATCTAGCTCAGCTGCTAATGGGCTCTTTAAATCTTTGGTAAAACAACATGTTGGATTTTATTTTTTTAAATATTTGAATGGTAGAAAGAATTAGTTTTTAGTGCAGATCTAGCTCCTGGGTTTGGATGGAAAGGTAATGCATATTTGACTAAACTTGAAACAGATGCTCAAATGTTTGCATTACGGTGCAACATCTGCTGCAGAGATTCGTCCTGTGGAAAACTATTTTTTTCAGATGTGTATTTTAATTTTTGTTGGGGTTTTCTGTGCTTGCACAATGCAGACTTAGTCAGGCATTAAAAAACTCTCCTGCTGAGTTGGGAGTCCTGACCTTCAGCAGGATGCCAGATTTGGAAAGTATCTGTATGACTAGACTGAAACCAGCAAAGCCATACCTCTGGTCAACAAGGATACGATCTGAAGCCTATTGACGGCTTCGGTGGACACTGGCAGGTGAAGTCCTTATGCTTGATTTGCAAGTATCCCTAAAATTCCCTTCACTGGCTTTGCATCAGGCATGAATTTGGCCGACTGCT